CCCACTTTGCCAAGGCATGTGCGAAGCAACATTGAAAATATTCTTCCAAAATCTGCTGTACAGGCTTCCACAGATGATGAAGAAGAACCCTCGGCCAAAAAAAGGCGTTATTGCAGTCTTTGCACGTCTAAAAAGAAAAGAATGTCAAAGATGACCTGTGCCAAATGCAAAAAGACAGTTTGTGGTGAACACAAGAAAGACGTTTGTCATGACTGTCTCTAAAGAAATTTTTTATAATATTATAGTTTTTTTTACACTGATTATATTATAGTCTACTAGTTTGTAAGGATAAAACACTATTTTTTGTGATATTTTACGGGATTTGTTCCCATAAACCGAAGACTGTTGATTTTTGTTAATTTTTCATAGAAGTCTAGTGATTTAAGTTTAAAATTACTTAAAATATAAAAAAATATAATATAAATGCATTTTATTTTTACAATAATGCCAAACCTTTAAAATGACTAGATTAACTTAAATAAATATCCATTGTTAGTATAAAATTCACGCCTTAGAAAAGCATGCGCCTCTGAAGCGTATGGTTATCTTTTACGTACGTTGTCATATAATTATAAATTCTAGGGTTAAATGACTCGGAATTATTTAGAATTGGAATCGTTTTCAGAAGATTAAGCAACTTGTTAATGTACGGGCGCGCACGGCAAGCCTTTTCATTGCAGATAAAACGAAAGAAGAATGTGTGCACAGTCGTAGGAAGTAATTCCCATATGCTATGGTAATCTTACTTCTAGTGCGCTGAATACTTCTGCCTCGCTGTTCGCACTATTTCCTATCCGCGAATACTTTCCCAACATTATCGTCGACCGACAAAGAAAAGGAAAATTCTCTACATTTTTCTATCCTACGAATGTGTTTCCTACTTGCACCTGTTTTGCGTCGATCTGAATAAGCAAAATTGCATCCCGATTCATCGTAGCAGACTATTACTTGCTACAGTTCAGAACGCGTTTCACCTTACAGTCTCTTTGCGAATCTCACCGATCAGCCATTCTAATGACTTCGTGTCACGCATACGTCGATTTTGATAACTGAGAATGCAAATAAATATTGGAACGTATAGAATGTTTAGCAGGTACTTTATGAAACAAATTTATAAACATGCCAAAATAAAATATGCTGAATTTTGTCGGTAATAAGAACTTGTTTGCACATGCATCAATTTTTCGTAATTTGAAAAGTATTTATTCACGGGGCCTCGTTTAAAAATTCTTAAAAATTGGCTGACTGAAAAAGAGCACGGATACTTGTAAAACTAAGTAACTAAATAAAGATAAAAAGGTGTAAGTGATCTTTTTGCAATTTTGCAATTTTGTTGAGGACCTTAAAAGAAATTTTAAGCACTTTTTATCTTCCGTCACTTATTATTCGCCTTTTACGTATGTAAATATGTAGGTGTTACCCTATTCATCTGTACAGGTGTATACTAGCGATCACGTCGGAACAAACTGAAAGAGGCAGAAATTACAGTGTTTTTTACAAGTGATATAATGGCGTCTACAATTCCTTTTACCTGTATTATTTTTTTTAGAAACAATGGTAACCTTCTATCTTTTTAAATAGAATATTATGTATTTTTTTATATTATATAATATTGTTATATAATAATATATATTAATAATAATATAATAATAAATAAAACATTTATAATATTAATACTGAAATAATAATATTAATAATAATATATATTATATTATGTGCCTTGTTATTTAAACAAAAATATCGCATAGTTTTAATAATATCTCTCTGAAACGTATAAAAAGACTATGAAATTTTTGTTATAATCATTTTTTTATTGCTACTACAGTTTGGAAGATATACAGGGTGAGTCACAAATTAGACTCCACGATTTTTCAGTCCCTTCGGATGGTCTGACAAAAAAATATTTCCTGTCAAAGTTAATTAGTATTTAACTGAAAATAAATTGTAACTGTTTAAATTT